ACTCGGGGAAGCGCTGGGATGTGGCTTCCGTCCTGGGCGGAATGGGAGGTGTCTAAGGCCAGAGGGGGTTCTGAGAACAGCCCAGCGTTTAAATTCCTTGTTAAAACAGTCGGGGTGGGAGTCCAGTAGATTGGAGCTGCATTAGGGACCGCGCGGCAACTTGCGTTCCAGTGCTGGTTCATTCGCTCCTTCTTTAGCCCTGTAATCTTTGCAAGTTCTACAACTTGCTGAGCTTTAGTTTAGGATGCAAGGGTCTGGGGAGTGGGGGGGCCTGGTCTGCACACAGCCTGGTACTCAGTTTTTCATTGTGGGGATCAGGGAATAATTTAGGCGTTCTGTGAGAAGCTGGCCTTTCCATGGTGGACCTGGGATCTTTGTATGGGGCCATGGGAGATCCCTGGGCCTGGGTCTGGCCAGACTGCTTCTACCCAGCTTGGGCAGCCAACAGGACGCCAACCTTGTCTTCCTGGCTCAGTTTCTGCCCCTGTATTCGAAAGTGATCTTGGACTGCTGTGTCCCGGTCATTGATAGTGCAGGGAGAGGAACTGCGGAAAGCCTTTCCCCGTGTTTGGAGGGGCCTCTCCTGTCCCTTACAGACCCTGGAGCTTTCCTACATTTTCACTTCCCACCATCACTGAGAGGCCTTCTGGGGCCCTACCTGTGCTTTGTGAGAACCCAGTGCCCTGTGGTTTGTGAGAGCCCAGTGCAGGTCATTGCAGGCCGCGGGGAGTGGGCCCTGCCTCCAGGCAGCTTGTGCGGTAGCTGGTGGATCCCCTTTTGGGGGTTCTCCTCTCCACACCCAATGTGCCTGGGGGACTGCCAGGTGTCAGGGTGCAACAACTGAAAACACAACCAAGGTTACGCTCACATTACTGACAGCTGATGTATAGCATAGCCAAGGGCCTGGGAAATCTTCAGTCCATTGTAAATAGAGGAAGGCCATTCACTGTTTTCTTAAAAAGAACGAGGCTGTGGAGGTGGCAGTGGTGACAGGTCGATGTGTCACCATTTACACAGCAGTTGTTTGTTACCCACTGTGCTGACCTTTCCCCTCTGCCTACCAGGACTTGCAGGGAGCTTGGAGAGAGGGGCTGACATCTGTGGCTGCTGGCCTGTGACAGACGGGTCCTCTGTGCACAGAGACTTGCTGAGAGGTGCCATGATGCCGAGGAGCCGCGGGCCCAGGTGAGACTTCTGTCTGTTCACCAGGATTGTGGTTCTTTGTACCCTGTGAAGCCATGTTCTTCCCTAGTGTTGGTGATGCTGAGTGAGGTCCGGATGAGATGAAGGGCGGTGTTCAGGGACCACGTCAGACTCCTCACATGCTTCCGGGGACCTGTATGGAACCAGAACGCTGTACTCTCCTGGCATTGGTGTTGGTAGCAGCAAGTTACAGTGGCCAGGGGCTGGATTTTGGTGTCAGAGACCTCTACCCTGGCTGTTAATCCCTCCTCTGCTTTCAATGAGCTCTTTGACCTCTGTGTTTGTTTTTTGTTTTTGTTTGTTTTTTAAATTTTTTATTTTACGTCATTATTTTTTGTGTGTACCGTCAAATCAGATCTGACTGGTACAGGAGGAGATTGTTCCTCCTTCTCCAGCAGAGCATCTGGTGGATTCGAACTGTGCGCCTCTGAGATTGCAGTGCAGCTTCTTGCCACTAGGCCACCAGAGCTCGCCATCCTCTTTGTTCTTTTTTGGGTTCTCTGGTTAACATTTTTCCAGCCACAGAGTGAGGGTAAGGATACCCAGCCAGTCGGGGAGAGGTGCAGGTGGGTTCTGCAGGAAAGGAGGCCCAAGTTCCGGATGTTCCTCCGTAGTGACAGGCCACACGGCCTGTTCTCCTCCAGCCCCGGAGGTGTTCCGACCGTGGACCACACAGCCTCTGTCTAGTGTGGTCTGGAATCTCAGGAGAAGAGCAAGTACTGATCCCGACCTGTAGTGATCACACACACAGTCCAGGCCCCGAGAACACGACAGGAGCCAAGTTCCCAGGCGCAGCACAGCCAGGGACCACTGCTCAGTACCGAAGCTCTGTTTCCTGCTATGGGGGAAAAAAAGCCGTGGAGTGATCTCTATCAGCCTGACCACACACTCCTGGCCTCCAGACAAATGCCTTGCTAGTGGTTTTGCCAGAAGTATATGAGCCTTGACTCCCTGAGGTCCTGAGTGTTTGTAGGGGTCTCTGCAGGACACAGCAGCTGCTGTCTTCTGGGATTGGCTCCTTCCCTGCTGTCCCTCCTTCCATTTTTGCTCCTGTATTCGAAAGTGATCTCGGGCTGCCAGTGCCCTGGTCATTGATAGTGCAGGGAGAGTAAGCGCTGAAAGCCATTTCCCCGTGTTTGGAGGGTCCACCTTGTCCCTTCCGAACCCTGGAGCTTTCACACATGCCTACTTCTTTCTGTTCAGCCACGTGGGAGGAATCTTTTTTTTTTTTTATTTTTATTATTTGTGTGTGTGTGTACACCATCAAATCGGATCTGACTGGTACGTGAGATTATCCCTCCTGAGCATCTTGTGGATTTGAACCGCGTATCTCTGGGATTGTAGTGCACCTTCTTGGCACCAGGCTACCAGAGCTCCCTAAATCCCAGGCTTTCTGGGCTGCTGTGAGAGTAGGTACTGAGGCTTCCTGGGCCTGGCTGCCTCTTCCAGGAAGCAGAGTGTCAGTCTTTGGACACCAACTCTGAAGCATAATTCAGAATTAGATACTTTATCCTGTTCACAGGGGCAGTGGTTTGTTTTTCTTGTGTGCTGTCAGATTCGACTGGCACAGGAGGAGATGGCCCCTCCTCCAATAGAGAATCTGGTGGATTCGAACTATGTGCCTTTGGGATTGCAGCGCAGCTTCTTGCTGCAAGGCCACCAAAGCTCCCTCCGTGTTTTGTATAAGGAGCCACAGTGAATTATGAATAGTTTGTGTGAATGAGTACAACACTGGGCACGTAGAGAATTTCCAAAGAGCAGCTTCCTGAGAAGGAGATGTCTGGGTGGGACTTGAGTAGAAGGGGTGACAGGAACATGTCCTAGTTAAGGAGAACGTAAGACCATGGGGCTGGGTGGATGGAGAGAGGTATGTGTGGAAGTTTGGGACAGAATCAAGCAGCGTCTTTACGGGTCACTGGCGTGTAGGGTTTGCAAATAGGGGAGAAAGGAGAAGAGCCCATTCCCGCAAGAGCGAGGGGTGTCTGCAGAACACTGCAGCGTCCCCAGCCTGCGGGGCCCCTGAAGGCGAGCAGCCCTCACAGCCCTCCCAGTGTCTGGTGTGCTTCACTGACCACTGCTCTCAGCTCGCCAGGCCTCTGCCATTTGTCCCAGTCTTCAGGCTCGCCCTTGAATAAGATCCAGACTAGAGAAGAAGCAGCAGCCAGAAACCATAGGCACAGCCGTCCTTTATGGCTTCTCTGTTCCATGCAGAGTTGTGGGGTGTTTGCCTTCTGTGGGTCGTCTTGGTAGTTGAGTATGTTGTAAATTACATGTGTGGCTTCCTGTCTGTGCAGCATTGTTACCCCCTGGCTCTGGTCCTGTTAGTCCAGAGGCCCCTGAGAGGCAGCTAGAACTGCCAGCCCGGAGGGTTAGGTCCCTGCTCCCTCCCTCCCTGCCCCATCCTCCCCTCCTGTCCCACCTTCACAGTGCTGGTGTTGACTTAGCCCTCCAGGGGTTCTAAGAGCTTCTTGGGAAAGTATGTATCTCTTGAGATCTTTAGAGCTGGAAGGAGGTCGGTATTTTGGAGTTGGACTGACTCTCTAGTAAAAGTGCTCGTAAAAGCACATAGCCCCACATCACTCACCCAAATGTTAAGTCTTACTCTTATTTCCTGCCCAGGTCCAAAAGATATTTAGAAATGAAACTGTTCAAGCCCCACCCAAGACTGGCTCAATCAGAAGATCTGAGGCCGGGCCCAGCCATCTAATCTGGCTGGACAGACCCTCGTAGTTGAAGGGTTTGGGGAAATAGAGAGCCCAGGCCGTTTCCCTGTGTTTGGAGAGGACTCCCCAGTTCCTTGCAGACCCTGGCGCTTTCCCACATGTCTCTGGTACCAGCTTGTTGCCTCCTGGTACCCAGTGCTGCGTGGCTTAGGAGGATTCGGACTCAGCAGCCTGGTAATACAGAACAGGTCTGTCCCATAGCGTTTCCAGGGTTGTAATGTTGGAATCAGACACTTAACCTTTTTTCTGAGGAGTGGCTGCCTGGTGGATTTGAACCACTGACCTGCCATTCTGTCATTAGCAGCCAGCATTTGTGCCACCGGGGCTCCTTGATAAGGTAGTGTGTACGTATGAGTTGTTTCTGCCCCAAGTATCTGCAGACCCCTTTGTAACCAAACTTGGGGTGGCAGTTCAGCTTGTTATTAACAGTAAAGCCAGTCTTTTGGTGAGAACTCTGAAAGGCAGGTGACTCAAATCCACCAGCTGCTCAGGGTGAGGTGGACTGGTACCTATGAAAACCCACTGGAGAGTCAGCTGTGAGTCAGTTCCAGCTTGATGGGACGTAACAAGATCTTGGCCAGCCGCCACTGGGGTGGGTCCGGGCTCATCCGTGGCCTGTCTTGCAGGTGAGCACCCCCTGTGCAGCGGTGGACGTTTCCTGAGCGCCCATGCTCGTGTCTGCAGGAAGTGAGACGAGTGGCACTGAGGTAAGAGTGTTGGGGTGTTCTCTGGAATTTGGGGGCTTTGCATCCTGTAAAGGCACGTGCGTGTTCCCTGGAGCGTTGAGTGAAGGCGGAAGAGGAAACGAGGTCATCCCACTTGTCCCTGCTGGGAGGCAGTTCCTCACATGCTTCAGCAGCTGTGGTAGGGCCGGCATCTCCAGAGAGCTGGGGGTTCCCTGGGGCAACCCCCCCTCCCCCAGGTATTAGAGCTTCTGCTTGTCGGGATGGGGTGGGACGGAGTGATGCCAGACCCTCCTGAAACAACTCTGTGACCTCTTCAGCCCTCATTCGTCCTCTGAGAAACAAAACGAGTAGCGGCAAGGTTTTTCCAACCGGGGAACGTTGCTGTTTCTTATGCTGGAAGTGACTCTTCCTGCCGGGAGGTTGTGTGGTCTCTGTAGGGCGTAGAGGCAGCTGTGGGGATGCTCTCTCCTTGACTGTGGCTGTTCCCTAGCTCCAGCGCCCCTTCCGGGCTGTCCTGGCCTCTGCCACCCCTGTATTCGAAAGTGATCTCGGGCTGCTGGTGCCCTGGTCATTGATAGTGCAGGGAGAGCAAGCACTGAAAGCCATTTCCCCGTGCTCGGAGGGTCCACCTCGTCCCTTCCGAGCCCTGGAGCTTTCACACAGTCTTCTGCGACCCCTTCAGAATGGACTTTTGTTGGATGAGTGAGAAATGGTCACTTTGTCTTCAAGTTGTTCTTGTCAGAAACTTGAAGAGGGACAGGGCATCTGATTTGTATTTGAGCCACGCAGGAATAAACGGAATAAATCCTAGTAGTTCTAAAGGATGCACAAAGCAGTTACGGATTGTAGGCCTAGGTCTGAAATTTACAGGGCCGAGTAATAATTCATGTACTCTAATCCAGAACAGCCTGTCACTGAAGAATACCTGCTTACATGCTGCCTTTCCTTCTTCTGTTGCTGGAGGGCATGGGATTTGCCTTGCTTCTTCAGAAGCTTCTAGTAATAATGAATGAAGGAAGGAATGAATGAATGAAGCCAGGGGCAAGATACTGGCATAAAGAGGGGCTGTCAATCCTGAATTGTTAAAGAACGCGCTGGGGGTTCCTTCCAGTTGCTGGTGGTGGGAGGGCACGCACCTGCTTGTCTCCCTTTCCCTGGCTTTTTGTTTTCTGTCCCCACTTTGGAATGACATTGATCCAGAGATTTTTTTACGAGAAGAAATTCATGGGTTTGTGGTACTTGGAACTCTGCCTCTGCAGACACCAGGCTTCTTGTCTCTGTTCTCGACTTATTTCTTGGTTGTGTGACTGAGCAAATTGTGCTTTTCCCCGGCAGAACTCTCTTGGTGATGTCGGCTGGGGAAAAAGATGTTGGGGAGTAAATATTGGTGTCCCTCCTCACCCTCCTAGGGCTTGTTGACCCAGAGCCTGTAGAGTGAAGAGGCCGCGGAGTCAGTGGCCCAGGCTCAACTTGGGATTTGAAGTTCAAGTAATGCTCCAGTTCTCCTTAGGGTGAGCTCCTGACAAGGAGTAGGGCCCCCAGACTGAGCCTAAGCTGGATTGTTTGTGCAGATCCCACTCCAACCGCTGGTCTCACCTGCCCTCCTCTCTTTTTAGGGCCCTGTTAGTCTCTGGACATGAAAGACGTAGAGATGGGACAATGAGGTTGCCAAGGAATCAAGCACCATTGCTTCACCTGCCTGTCGGCGCAGCATCATGGAACAGCTGTCCTCTCTGCAGGCGATGAAGAGAGTGGAGGTTGTGGACTTGAGTCTGGACGTGGAGTGATGTTTTAATTGGAATTTTCCTGGTGAATCTGTGCTCTTATTCATAATCATCCTCATCCAATAAACCCATTTGACAAACCACACGGATTGTTCCACCTGCCTTTTTATGAATTAGTAACATTTTAGGTGCCAGCAAGTCAAGGCACAGCCGAGTCTTTGTTCCGGCTTGGCAACATGGAGGTGTAAAATTAGGTTTATAATTAGGAGGTGAGCAGGCAGTTAATAAGATTCAGGACCTGTGAGAGTTGAAGCTGGGCAGGACTTTTTAAAGGAGTCTGGTAGTGGGGTGGACGGAAGCTAAAGGCATCGAAGAAGATCGGTGTCCTGGGAGTCAGCTGCCGGTCATTCTGGTTTGATAGTGACTGAGGAAAGTCTTGTGCAAACAGGGACGAGTTAGCCTGTCTGGGAGGTGAACTGGAGAGGGCAGGTTATTCTGTAAGAGTGAAGGCCTGCTGGTAAGGAAGGATGTGGGGATTTGGGGAGATGTCACTGGGTGTCATCACGTCACCCTATGTGACTCTTGAATGCTGTGCCATCCTCAGAATCTATTACTATTTGATCCTGTTAGAGTCACTGTCAGTGTGTTTTGCTGAGTGTCTTCCTCTTGCTGATCCAAGGACTGGCCCTTCGTAACCACACCCGTGTGTGCCAGATGACATTTCACCACCCTTGCCTCTAGGCACCCTGCTTGCACTTTCTCCAAGACATCTGTTCTTTCGGCAGTTGATAGAATATTCAGTACTTTTCTCCAACAGCACAGCCGAATGGCATCAAGCCGTAGGATCCCTTGAGAAATCTGCCTCCTAATGTCTGCCAGTGTGGAGGGGGCACAGATTACAGAATCCTCACCAAGTTATTAGAGGTTCCCCTGGCCCCTGGCTGTCATGGCTCACTACACTCTGATTGGAACTGACTCCTAGCTGACCATTGAGTGTCAAGGTTGTAATTCACACAGGAGGAGCTTGGCCATCGAACCACCAGAAAGACGGCGACTTTGGATTGGCTGCACCATTCCTTATAAACTACAGCACTAGGACTCTGTTGTAAGAACTCCTGAAGATTAAATTTTAAGGTGAAAGTCAATGTTCAAGGCATGATCTTTTCTGTGAAACTGTCTGATGAAGTAGTTAATGGAGGATGCAAATGGAAAGCTTGGGGAGATTTCATGACTTGTAAACCCCCAGCCTTAAGTTGTCAGGGGCCATTGAGTTGACCCCATGAACAGATCTGAACCTTGGCCTGTCCTGTGACGTCCTCATCCTCTCATGCTCAAGCCTATGGTTAAAGTCGGTCCATTATTGCAACAGTGTGTCGTCACTGCAGTCCATCTCAGAGTCTTCATCCTTTGCTGACCCTCTCTCTACCTTTCCTAGCATGATAACCTTTTCCCTTTGAGAGCTTCCAAAACAGTCCTGAGAGAACGGTAGTATTGATATTACTGGAAATCTTTCTTTTAAAAAAAATTTTTTTTTTTACTGGAAATCTTAATACAAAATGAGATTGTCCAGATTCCTGATTCATAGCGGCAGTTACCTTGAGAGAAAGGTTGTTTACTTTTAACTAGACTGCTGCCTTTAATTGGGTCTATTCTCTTGAGTCTGAACAATAGCTGGACTGACTTTGAACTTCCTTAGTTGAAGTTGATTTTTATTCAGCCTTGGGTAGGGACAAAGGTCACCCTAGGGTGGCAGAGTGGAGTCCATTCCTTGCTTCACTTCTGTTTTCAGGATCTTCACCATTGTCCTGTTTCCGCTGAGCAAAATGGTACTTGGAGAACAGTTGGTAGTTACAAAGTCAGTCCTGCACATTCCATATGGTGATGATGTAACCAAATATACACCAATTTAAAAGTATATGTACAATCAGGGAGCTCTGGTGGCCTAGTGGCAAGAAGCTGCACTGCAATCCCAGAGGTATGCAGTTTGAACCCACCAGATGCTCTGCTGGAGAAGGAGGGGCAGTCTGTACCAGTCAGATCTGATTTGATGGTACATACACAAAAATAATAAAATTTTTTAAAAGTATATGGACAATCTGTTGGTATTATTTACACTCAAATTGTGCAATCATTGTTATTTTCCAAGTTATTCCACCCTCATTAACAAGTTCAGTGCCATCCAAGCAAAAACAACTCCCACTTTTGTTTTTTTTGTTTTTTAAAGAATTATAATTCATCTAATCCACTAGATGCTCTGCTGGAGGAGAGGCAATCTCCTCTTGTACCAGTCAGATCCAATTTGACGGTACACACACACACATAAAAATTTTAAAAACAAAAAAACAAGTGTTATAATTCAGATTAATAACAAATTACAGTCAAGACAACTCCTAATATGTACATGCAGGCATCTCAGCCTTGAGCCTCATGGCTTTAAGTCTTTCCAGGTTCTCAGTCCTGACAATATTGGCACCCCCCCATCAGCAAAGTCTCAAATCACATCAGTTCTCCAGTTCTGCCATCGCTGCTGTAGCAGTCCTGAAGTGTGTCCTACATTTCACCAGACTAGGGGAGGTCTCTCTTCTCTGGGTGGGTGAAAAATTCCATCTCCTCTGATGGGGAAAGAATTCCTTCTCTTACAGTGTGGGACGATTCTCAACATGTCTTATGATTTTATTTTCACTGTTGTTACTATTGAGTATTGTTATCCAAGTTAAATGAAGTCATTGACAACTTCAATCTTTTTTCCATCTATTATGATGTTGCCTATTGGCTCAATAATGTGGGATTTCTTTTAATGTTGAGATATAATCTATATTGAAGGTTGTAGTCATTGATCTTCTACAGTGCTTCAAGGTATTTTTTTTTTCATTTTCTGCAAACAAGATTGTATCACTTGTATAACTAGAGTTGTTGATGAGTCTTCCTCCACTCCTGATTCCACTTTCTTCATACAATATAGTTTCTTGTATGGTTTTGTTCAGCCTTGAGATTCAATATGGAGAAAGGATTCAACTCTGACACATGTTTTTTCTGATTTTAAACCATGCAGTGTTGCCTTATTCTGTTCAGACTACTGTTTTTTAGTTTATGAATAGGTTTCATATGAGCACAATAAAGTATGTTCTGATATTCCTGTTCCTCTCCATGTTAGCCATAATTTGTCAAAGCAAGGCCAGGATTGACTGTACTACAGATCACCAACTATTCATATGTAAGTTCAAATTGAAGTTGAAAAAATTTAAAGAAGCCCATAAATAAAAATGTGATCTTAAGTCTATCCCAAAGAATTTCAAAACCAACCTGAGAAGAGATTTGACGTATTGAACACTAATGACCTAAGATAAGATTCAAGGACATCACACAAGACCAAAGTGTATGTCAGAAGAGACTCTGAAACTTGCGTTGTAATGAAAAGGAGCCGAAACGAGGGAGTATGCTGAGGTAAGAAAACTGAACAGATTTCAAAGGGCGCCTGGAGAAGACAAAGCTAAGTAATATAACAAAATGTGAAAGAGCTAGACAACCTAAAGAGAATATGCTTGACATGTCTCAAGAGGAAAGAGCTGAAGAACAAATTCATGCAATACGGAAGGATTCTATGGACAAAATCTTGAATTACATATTAAGTGTCAAAAAAGATACACAGTCATGGAACCATAAAGAATTGGCTGACACTGAATTATTTGGGGAAATAGTACAGGATCAAAAATGAATAGCACTAAAAAAAGGAAAACTGCACCGATGGCATTGGCAAAAAATGAAGCCTCTAGAGTTGATGGAGTATCAATTGAGGTGTTTCGTGAAACATGCTGTCCTGGACATGCTCATCAGTCTATG